GCACTGATGATGTTACCTAGTTTGGTAATGAAACGTCTGCCGGAAAACAAGTTCATAGAGCACCGAAGACCCCACAGTCCTGCTCCTCTTCTCTGCAAGCACCATTCCTTTCCAGCACCGATGATGTTACCTAGTTGGGTCATGAAACGTTTGCAAGAAAACCTCCAAGCTTAAGACAGCACCGATGGACCATACAGACCTCCTCCTCCTCTATGCAGGCGCCATTCCTTTGCAGCACTGATGATGTTACCTAGTTGGGTCATGAAATGTCTTCAAGAAAACAACTAGCATCAGAGCTATGGACATTCAAAGAATCTGGAAAAAAAAAAAGAAAATCCAGTTGCCTTTTGGAAAAGCATCTTTGGGATAACCAAGTTGACAAAACACCATGGACCCCACAGTCCTCCTCCTCCTCTCTGCAAACTCTCTCCCTTATAACATTGATGATGTTCCTTAATTGGGTCATGAGATGTCTGTGGAGTTTTCAAACACCTCGTTGCAACTGAACAATTAATCCAAATAAAGAGATTCTACTGTTTATTTTAGAAATCGTTTTCAATTGAAGCATAGTGTAAAGGCTTACGTGGGATTTATGCTGTATAAACTCTCAAGGTGATTGAGGAAATCTATATAGGATTATTTCATGTCTTTGATCGTACTCCAATTTAATAAAGGAGAAAGATCTATGAATTAAAACAGTCATAGTACACACAGGGAGTTAAAATGAGGTCTTATTTCAAAGACAGCAAAACATCAAAACAGAAGAAAACATAACTGAATTCCTTAAGTACGGTATTTACAGAAATATTACTCTATGAATTAATGGGTCAAACTGAATGCCACAATTAGGGGAATGGAGAGAGAGAGAGAGATCCTTCTCTATCCCTATCTGTTGCCTGTCTGTCTATCCATCTATTTCTCTGCCTCTCAATCCACCCATCTCTATATCTTTCTATCTGTGGGAAGAATCCAGAGAAAGAAATATTTTGGGGAATATTAAAAAGGCAGAATATATTTCCCCAAAGGATCTTAAAGGCAGAAAAGCAAGCCCAGTTTTCCTTAATAGTCCCAAGTAGAAACTCAGCAGAAACCAGCTTTTAGAAATGCAGATGTAATAAACCATTCAGGAAGGTTGGAGCCAGGAAGCTAGAAGCTGATGAGATTAGGAAGACAAAGACCCCTAAATCTACATACCCCACCCAAACTCTAAAAGACATGACCTTTGGGGACATAATAGGATTAACCTACCATCAGAATACCAAAAGGACACATTGAGACTCAGGTCAAAGTACATGACACAGGAAATACAAAGCCTCAAACAGGAATAGGAAACAACTTCAAAAGCCTCAGAAGGTACAAAAACCCACCACTCCATTTAGAATTTAGAATAGAATAGAGCTGGAAGGGACCTTAGAGGTCTTCTAGTCCAGCCCCCTGCTCAAGAACATATACCGTCTCAGACAAGTGACTATCTAGCCTCTTCTTAAAAATCTCCAGTGATGGAGTGCCCATTTTATTTATTCCCAGCTTGGATTGGACCCTGATGAAGATTTTTCTTTCAACATATCCATGCATCCATCTATTCCTATCTATCCATCTGTCTATCTACTTATCTATTTATCTCTTTCCATCCATCCATCCAATATCTATCTATCTATCTATCTATCTATCTATCTATCTATCTATCTATCTATCTATCTATCTATCTATCTATCTGTCTATCTGTCTATCTATCCATTCTGTCATCTCTCTATTATTACACAAACTTTGTCAAGAAAGAAAATTAAAGGTTATTTAATCCAGGAGTCTATGTCCTGGGTTCATACTTAATCTCTCAGTATTTTGAAGGCTAGACACAATAGCATTACTTCTGACTTTGCATCTTTTAACATCTATTTTCTCTTAAATTCTAAGCAGTTCTTGCAAACCTTTTCTTTCAGATGTAGCCAAAATTTAGCAAACCATCTCCCCCACATTGCAGTGATCAGTGATCTCTGCTAAGTTCTTTTACCTTGCAAAGTTTCACTTAATATAAAAGTTATTTAACGTTCTACAGTCTCAACAAACACCTACTTGCGAAAGGAAAGGTCAGTTGTCAACAATTTCCTCGCATTTGAGATTTCTATGTAGGAAAGTAAGATGAAAGAAAAACGATCCGACGTTTGCCAGAGCAGGGCTTTTGAAAGGTGGGGGTGCAGTTTTCTGGAGCAGGGCTTGTCCTAGCAGATAATGTTGAGGAACATTGCCCGTACATGGCTAGGTTTTGTATGCAAGTCTACTCCTGCATGGCAGGTGTGAGATCTGTTTGAAAAACTTCAAAAGGGATCTTATGTTCCATTTCTCAGCATTAAACATTTCATTTGCTGAATGAGGAAAACAAATCTGATGCGCGTTTTAAGATTAGATATATAACCTTGCTTTTTTATTCACTTTGTACGAAAGTTCCCTGTAGCTACCTATGGCTGTGAAAATTGGACCTTAGAAAAAGCGAGACAGGAAGAAAATAGGCTTTGTTTACGCTGGGGTGCTGGAGAAGGCACCCCGAATATGCCTTGGACAGCAAAGGTGAGTGACAAGCAAATACTGGAGCGCATAACACCAGAGGTGTCACCGGAAGGCAAAATCATAAAACTGTGTCTCACCTATTTTGCCCATGTCACACGGGGGAATTCACTGGAGGGAGCAATTATGTTTAGAAGAGTTAGCAGTAAAAGGAAACCAGACCATCAAAAGACACAGACACCATCAAAGCTGACACCAGCCAGAGCATAGGGCAACTCAAAGAAGCATTGAAAAATTGGAAGATGTGGAGATATCTGGCCCATAGAATCACCCAAAGTTGGACATGACTGAATGGATAACAATAATAATATAATATAATATAATATAATATAATATAATATAATATAATATAATATAATATAATATAATATAATATAATATAATATAATATAATATAATATAATATAATATAATATAATATAATATAATATAATATTATAATATAATATAATATAATATAATATAATATAATTAATATAATATAATATAATAATATAATATAATATAATATAATATAATATAATATAATATAATATAATATAATATAATATAATATAATATAATTGGTATAATATATAATTAATATAATAATTGGTATAATATATAATTAATATAATGTAATGAGGAGAGAGAGAGAGATGATTTATTGTACTGGTAAAGGCATTTGGGCTAGAAACCAAGAGATCATGAGTTCTAGTCCTGCCTCAGGCGTGAAGACACCTGAGCGATCTTGAGCCAATCACTTTCTTGCAGATTGTCAACCTTGGGAAGGTAGTCTACATGAGAAGCATACCCAGTGCTATTTGTTTCGGAGCAAAGTACATACACCAGGGGTCTTCAGAAATGGCCCTTTTAGGACTTGTGGACTTCAACTCCCAGAATTCCTCAGCCAGCGTGCTTGGCTGAGGAATTCTGGGAGGAGTCTTCAAACTTGGCCCTTTTAGGACATGCTGGCTGAGGAATTCTGGGAGTTGAAGTCCACAAGTCCTAAAAGGGCCAAGTTTGAAGACCCCTGACATACACTGATGGATTTCACCTCGCGTGCTTTTTTTTTTTTTTTTTTTTTTGGCAAACGTCAGGTTCCGTTGCAACTGTAAATGCATCAGGCAGCCCGGCCTAACAAATCATCTTTTGGCAGGTTTTAAACTCATTTTCATCTACACCCAAGTGCCTGAAGGGAAAACATTCTCACTGTTTCTTTCCAACTCAGAGGTAGGACTTTAATTCTCTGTTTTCACTTGGCTGGTCCTGTTTCAAGACTCGCTTATAATTCGAAGGTCAGGTAAGAAATGTTTAGGCGGTTCGGAATTCTTTAATAGCAAGAAAAAGGGCTGTCCGGTGATCTCTGCACGAATGGATGCCTATCTGGGCAATCTTTTCATTGCTTCTGCTGCTTTCCACGTATCAGTGAACGTAGATCTTAATGGAAATCTTAGCTCGCAGTGCCGAGTAATAAATTGTTTTTACAGTTGATGGGTTTAGCTTGCTAAGGTTGTGGTGGACATCTACATGGTGCTGTGTCAAAAAAGAACAGGGGAAAGGAAAGGAAAGGAAAGGAGGGAGGGGAGGGATAGAGGGAGGAAAGGAGGGAGGGAGGGAGGAAAAGTGGGAAGGAAAGAAGGAAGGAAATCTTGCAATCTTGATGCATTGAGAATT